AATTTCTTTGTGAAGGTCTGACCTTGCTGCATCTCAGGATCTGTGACGCACCATAGAGTTTTGAAAATTAAAAAAGTGGAGAGGTAGAATGCACCGCCTCCTGATTAATATTTTTGTACCACGAGTTTAATTTAGAGAGCTTAATTGAAAATTTTACAAGATTAAAACTAATTATTTGTGTAATTTTACAGGCTAACATGCAGGTTTGGAGAGGCTGCATGGCGTCTTGTTTCAGAGCTGTGATTGATTATTCTGGCGGGTATTTTTGCACAGAAAAAACATCAATCTCAGCTGATATTGGCAGCTGATATTGGCTCTGGCAGCCGAGTGTTGCAAAACATTTAAATTTGAGGTCAGATAAAAAGGTTGAAACGTAGAAAAGGTAAGATTTGATCCACTTGTGGTGAGTTTGTCTTAGTTTGTAAGACTTCATTACAGACACAGCTAATTTGTTGAAGATCCAGTTTTATTAATGAACTCGTGGCTCTTAATTTGCAACTAAAAGGTCCTTTCAGCTTCCGATCCTATGTTCGATGCATTCCCTGAAGCCATTTGCTGCTTAGACAGCGGTGAATTTCACAAACGAGGTTGGAGGACAGAGAGGAGTGAGCTCATGACAGTGACAGGCTAATTTGCTCGTGTCCATTCATTTCCTTCATTAGAGTTGGAGGGGCGGCTCAATGCTCACCGTGTGATTTACTCTGCTATAATCAGACGATCAATTACTCACCCCTTCTCAATCAGGCTCTTGTTTGTGGATCAGCGAGCGTGCACACGACTAAACAACAGGCACCAACAACAAAAAGTTAACGGCGTACGAGGAGCTTACATTGGTTCATCTGTGGAGACATTAAAACAAATTAACAGGACACGTAACAGGCGGCCACTGCATGACAGATTTACACTTTTAAACGATGCATTTGTGGTGTGAAATCCCTCCCACCCTGATTTAGCAGGAAATGCACCAAATAAGGAAAACATAGTGCTGTAGAAGTCCTGTTTAAATATAAATCTAGACCATGGCAGAACACTGTAGACATGCAAACAACTAGAAGAAACCAGACTGGGATCAATCTCTGTCCACCGTCTGTTTGATGGATATTTATAGATTAAAGAGTTCTCAGTTTTGCTGTCATGCTTCAAACCTCAACTTCAATTCTAGTCATGCAGAAAAGCCTTCACTGAAAGTGTAATACTACACTGTTGGCCTCTCTGCAGAAAAATACTATTTTTAATATTGGAGTATGCAGCGGTCTCCACAGTTAATGTCTTATTTAATGAAAGCTTTATAAAGGACATCAGTTTAGATTTAAAAAAACATGTGATTCTGGTTAATTTGATCAGAAGGTGTCCTGTTGTGGGTTTCCGTTGCATTTATTTGGTGTAACTTGAGTTTGTTTTTTTTACCTGTGCATGCTGAGCTCCTCACCTGCACTACATTTGCAATCACTCACCTGCTCTGACTTTAGTAATCTAGCCGGTATCCAGCAGGTTTTGTGGTTTCTCTGCTCCAGCACACTTGATTCAGTGGTTGAATCACCTGTGCAGCAGCTCATCAGGCTCTACAGAAGCCTGTTAATCACCTGCTGATTGAATTCAGGTGTGCTGAAGAAGGGTTAAACCTAAAGCCTGTTGGATACCAGCCCTCCAGGACCAGGATTGGCACCCATGATCTAGTCCTTTGTTTTTTAGTCTGTTGTGAGATCCAGTTGTCTTTGAGAAGACATGATAATGTAATTGCTCCTTCCGTTTACCCAACTGATTACAGATAATGGATATTCAGAGCAGTGTCCATGACCAAACTTAATCATTTTGTGTAAAACCAGTTTCGATCTTCAAAATTTCACAGCAATTCTTCCCAAATGTTGTTCATGTCAAAATCAAACCTCCAAAACTTTTCTCTTTTCAAGAAATTATGTGAAAAAAATGATCTTTTTCAAAAGAGAAACTTATAAGCTATTTTCTACACGCCAGTAGATTGTCATCCATGAAACCACGAGCAGAAGAGTGACCTGCAGAGTTAGTTTTTTTTTTTTTGCAAATAAATAAAAAACAAGAGAAATCTGTATTTGATCTTGTTTTTATTACATTGAATTGTTTGGTTTATTTGCATACACAGTGGGTACAGTGTCAGAGCAAATGAGACAGAATTGTTTATGTTTATGTTTATTTATTTGGTAGATGCTTTGATCCAAAGCGATTTACAATTCATAACCTATAGGGCATGTTGTGATCTGTGGGGGAAACCGGAGTACCCGGAGGAAACCCATGCATGCATGGGGAGAACACGCAACTCCACGCAGAAAGGCTGCAGCCGAGTTTCGAACCTGCAACCTTCATGCTGCAAGGCAACAGTGCTAACAACTGTGCCACCATGCAGCTTTTAAATTGTGGGATGGCATAGATCTGGCCAAGGTTACAAAAACATCTCAGCACTTAAGGTTCCTAAGAGCACAGTGGCCTCCATCATCCTTAAATGGAAGATGTTTGGGATGACCTGAACCATTCCTAGATCAGGCCGTCCGGCCAAACTGAGCTCCCGGGGGAGAAGAGCCTTGGTGAGAGAGGTAAAGAAGAACCCAAAGATCACTGTGGCTGAGCTCCAGAGATGCAGTCAGAAAATGGGAGAATGTTGTGGAAAGTTAACCATCACTGCAGCCCTCCACCAGTCGGGGCTTTATGGCAGAGTGGCCCATCTGAAGCCTCACCTCAGTGCAACACACATGAAAGCCCACATGGAGTATGCTTAAAGACACCTGAAGGACGTTGAGATGGTGAGAAATAAGATTCTCTGGTCTGATGAGACCCAGATAGAACTTTTTGGCCTTATTGCTGTATTTGTGGTGAAAACCAGGCGCTGCTCACCACTTGTCCAATGGCGGTGGCAGCATCATGCTGTGGGGGTGTTTTTCAGCTGCAGGGACAGAATGACTGGTTGCAATCGAGGGATTGATGAATGCAATTGCAGAGACATCCTGGACAAGAACCTTCTCCAGAGTGCTCAGGACCTCAGACTGGGCCAAACGCTCACCTTCCAACATGACAATGACCCTAAGAACACAGCTAAAATAACAAAGGAGTGGCTTCACAGCTACTCTGTGACTGTTCTTGAATGGCCCAGCCAGAGCCCTGACTAAAACTCAATTGAGCATCTCTGGAGAGACCCAAAAATGGCTGTCCACCAATGTTCACCATCCAACTTGACAGAGCTGGAGAGGATTTACAAGAAGTAAAGGTGGAGGATCCCCAAATCCAGGTGTAAGAAACTTGCTCATGGCTGTGTTAGCTCAAAAGGGTGCTTCTACTAAATACTGAGCAAAGGGTCTGAATACTTAGGACCATGTGATATTTCAGTTTTTCTTTTTTAATGAATCTGCATAAATGTCTAAAATACTGTGTTTCTCTGTTACTATGGGGTGCTGTCTGGACATTAATGAGGAAAACTGAACTGAACTGATTTTAGCAAACAGTTGCAATATGACAAAGAGTGAAAAATCGACGAGGGTCTGAAAACTTTCCGTACCCACTAACGTTTAGACTTCTGGTGCAAGTCGGGGCAAATCAAGCAAGAAAGTTTTGGGAAAAATAAGAAAACAGTGACTTCATTGTAGAAATTTATATTATATTTGAAATTAAGTGTTTGCATGAATCCATATTAAGTGTTTCTGCAGCTGATCTGAGATGAAACAGCTAATGTCTGATGTGTAAAGGGGGCAGATATTATAAGTTTTTGCTTCTTTCTGCCCCTTTTCATTCATGATTATTTGAGAACTTGAATTGTTTTAATGTAAATTTAGTTTGATTGCATAAAATGAAATAAAAAAAAGAAAAACGCTTAAATAACAGAGGCAAAAGCAACCAGCATGCAGCCCCACATGTTGCACAAATTAGTGTCAGCAATACAATACAGAATCTTTATTTTTTGCTTTCTCTAAATTTGTTCCTTTTCATAACAAGCGTGAAAAATAAATAATTCATATTATAATTCCCATCATTTTGCACACATGTAACATAGATGAAGGGTGCTTCCTGAGTCCGTTGTCTTTGAAGTCGAGCTACGAGTCAGACGGAGAGCTTGATTGGAATTAAAGCTCTGCTGGAGGACCCAGCAGTGATGGCCACAGGAGGCTAATTGGTCTTTGGCATTTAGCACATTGCTGGCTGAGGCCAACAGATACATTTCCCTGTGTGCTTTAACATGTAGGTTTGCATAAAAGAGCAGAGAAAGAGAGACTGTTTTAGACATTTCTTCCAGTTCAATTAGATGACACTGGACACATGACCTTATTAATAAGCCTGATTTTCTGTTTTAACCTTTTCATTAAACCCAAAAGGTTTAATACATTTTATTTATTACTGTTATTTTTAGGTCTTCAGATCATTTACTCAGTACACCATGGACTCTCGTTTAATTCTTCTCTTCCTCATCAGCCTGAAACATTAAAAAAAGCACAAAGTTTTTGGAGCGGGATTTTGGTCTTCAACTTTAACATATTTCATAGGTATTCTCTCTTTAGAAAATCCCGACACTGTATTTTATATGGTGGACTATAATTCAGGGACAACCTTAAAACCTCAAATCGTAAAAAACTGAACATTTAGTCAACTGAAAAGTATTTCTTTCCTCATGGACGTAATGGGGGGGGAAGACACACACACATGTCCCCCCCACTTTTTCCAAAGACAAGTTTTGACCCCTGCACTTTTTACCATCCCAAAACAATATTACGCTATATTAAATTGACACTGGTTGAGCTGTAGGACCAAGCGGAAAACAACCATTTGTGTTGAAGCCTGTTTCCCATTAGCATACTGTAAAGATACAACCCCCCCCCCCCCCCCCCCCCCACGGGTCCCCCCCACTTCTAAAGTGAAAATTATGTCCATGTCTTTCCTCAACCTTTCCACAACCATTCATAGCACTCATCTCAGCAGAAATTTGGAGTTGAATTCATTCGTCTCACGTAATGCACCCAAGCCCCCACAATGCCGCTCAGAAAATGGTCCCATCCCGGAAGTAAGAAAAATTGCAGTTCCACCCTCATCCGCTGGGGGCTGGTGCCAGAAGCGAGCAAATCCTCATTGACTCCCATGTTAAAAATGCCGATTTCACAGCAGAAATAAACATGTTTACAGCCTGGTGCCAAAACATGTTTTTTGTCTAAATTATCTAGTTTATACTCATGACAACTCTGAGGGGGGTGAATTTTTTTCTCACTCTTCTGTTTAAGTGTATTGAAAGCCTAAAATTCTGTATAATTAATGAGCATCCGACACACGTGACCGCCGCCTCAGACCCACGTGACCACAGAGCTAGCTCCGTGGAAAGGCCTCAGTACAGCCTCGGTCTGGCTTGGAAACTGCTCCGGCATTTTGAGTCTCTGTGTTTGTGTATTCTTCTTTGGATATTATTGGTGCAATTGTTGGACAAAATGACTTGCAGTGGTATTAATTGCACTAATAGAGCGTCCAAGGAGTCTCCACTTCATTTTTTTCGGTAAGTTAAAATCTATATTCGTATTTTATGTCACTGCTACCTTTAAACTAGCTGAGTTTACCGAAGTAGCTAGCTAACTATCAGTTTAACATGTAGCATGTACTGTTTAACCATGAAATTTAAATGTAAAATACGGTAAAATAATTAATAGGGCATATTTAGATGGGTAATAGGGTAAAACCCAGTGCATTTAAGATAAAAATGGGTTGAAATATGACGGAGCGCTAAGAGGGAGACTTCTGTGTCCATTCTTCCATCCGGTAATCCCCAGCGTTCAGGCCGGGCAGCCTGACCGATCCGGCGCCTACTTGCTGCGCCTAGCTGCTGCGCGGTCTGACCGCTCGTGGAGTTTTTCATGTCTGACTTTAACCGCATCTAATACTGTATTACGGCGTGAGCGCAACAGCGACAACTTAATATCGATGTGTAAGCAGCCTGAGTGGTAGGGTGTTTTCATCTGAACCCTCCAGCAGGCTATGCTGCACTATTGACGTGTTAGCGCGCGGCGCTAACAACTTAGCAACGTGACATGTCTCTGAGAAAGCGTAAAACACGGACGCTTCTTCTGAAGCGGAAAATAACACCTCTTCTTAAGCAGAGCAGGATGTCGCCTCGGCTCGTTCACGGCCGAGCCGGACTGAGCTCGATAACATTGACCAAGCACAGCCACTGGGCCGTTGTAGCTGCCACCAGGCCTGCTGAAGGAACTCCAGCGGGTTTCATCAGACTCGTAAAGTTTCTTGTTTTTGCTGGGGATTTCTGTATTTTACCGCTCCCTCCTGCAGTCTTCCCCTATTAAAATTTAAAATGTGTAACTTTATGTATTGTGATGAATGACTAATATTCATGTTAAACTGAAACGTTAGGCATTTAGGGGGAAAAAACAAAATAATAAACATTATACAGATGTCAAATAAATCAAACTGTAATTAAACTATATATTTTCAAAGTCATATAGACAGCATGATGGTTTGTGTGATCCGCGCGGTTTCACTTACACCCCTTTAATGATCAGGCTGTTTTTTATTATTTTTATCAGCTGATAGCAGTTAAAATTATGGTAAAAAATAATTTTATCTGTTTTTGATAACTTCATGCCCAGGAAGAGCATCTTCCTGGGCATTAAATATAACCCAAATGTTTTATTATGAGCAGATCTGATGAAGGTTTAGACAAGCAGTCTGCAAAGTAAAACTTGTTTAGAGTCCAAACTCTTACTAAAGCTTTTGAAAAGAAAAAATGGTTGAATTTTGAGAAATATCCACAACAGGGGAGCGAGACCTCTGAAAAATGTATATTTTCTCTGAATTCATAGAATAATGTGAAGATTCTGGGAAAAGTTGGGATTCTGAGATTAAAACGTAAATCTTTCTTATCATAATTCTGGCAGTTTTTGTGTCCTTCTGCTGTGGAAAGTCGTGCAACATGAAGATACTGAGAAGATGCTTACAACCTGTATTTTTATTCCATCCATAAATAAAATCATGAGCTATTTTTTTAATCCAAATTTGATCCAAAGGGCCATCGTTGGTTCCAGACCCGTTCTAGAACATTCCTCTAATCTTAAAGTCATCATCAGTTTCTTCCTTTTAACAAATATTTATTTGTTCAAATATTTAATATTTATAACTGGAATATTTGTTCCTCCCTCTCCCACTGCAGTTAGTCCTGTCCTGCAACCCTGTTTTTGCAGCTTAGTGAAGCCAACCATCACTAACCTGGGGGTGGTTTTGGACCCAGAGATGCGGATGGACTCCCACATTAGCCAGGTGGTTAGATCCTGCTTTTCCCGGCTTCGCCAGCTACCAAAGATGAAGTCCATCCTGAAAGACGTGTCATATTTTCTCCCCAAGCTGGACCTGACCGTCATGTATCGGTCCAAAATAGTGTGATGATATTGTGTTTTTGTACATAACAGACTTTTTAACAGACAAATTTGTTGCATTCTCCTACACCTCTTCACGGGCTCGCCACAGTAAATATTCTATTTGGCAAGAGATAAACTTTATTGTATTTATCCTAGTGAATCTATAATTAAACGGGTAAACTAGTATTAGCACATCCAACATCAAAGAAAGTAAAATGTTATTATCAGGAGAGGGAGAATGTTTAAGTGGTTAGCAGCAGTGTGCTAGCCGATGGCCCCCTCCATGAGGCCACCACAGCTCAACAGAACATCGTTGTAGCTTCTTCTGGGGAGAAAAACACTTAGAGAAAAAATAAAGTTAACAGCTGAAATAGCAGGAAAGAATACAGTTAAAGAGCAGATTGTAGAAGAAAGAAACCCCTGGGTTAAACTGGTCTGTCTACTGCATAATGCTGAACTCTAACATGTGTCCTCAGGGAAGGACCTGATTGGTGTCCAGAACCTGTTGGAAGAAGCACCAGGCTCTGCAGGCTGAGGTCACAGGTCATGAACCTCGCATCAAGGCTGTCACCCAGAAAGGAGAGACCATGGTGGAAGAAGGTAGAGCAGGTCTGGTCCTGACATGTTTCTGAGGTGTCTGCAGGTTCTGGCTCACTTTTTTTGGGTCCAGGTCACTTCGCTGGTGAGGAAGTGAAGACTAAACTGTGGGAGCTTCATGGACGTTGGGACACGCTGAAGGCCAAGGCGTCCCAGAGGAGGCAGGACCTGGAGGACTCTCTGCAGGCCCAGCAGTACTTTGCGGATGCTAATGAGGCCGAGTCCTGGATGAGGGAGAAGGAGCCCATCGTTGGAAGTCCAGACTAAGGGAAAGACGAGGACTTGGCCGAGGTATGGAAGTCCCTTCCTGAGAAACTCCAATCGCTTTTCTTTGCTCTCTTTCCAGTCCTTCATAATTAGTGTTTCTGTATTTGTCATTTCCTTCGGTTGTCTACCAGACGTCGTTGCTCGTTTGAGCGTCTCATGGGTTAGGGGTAGAAGTGCTGGCCTCGCACAGGAAGTGATGACAAACGTGTTCCCGTCGCTCTTATTTCAAACGGTTTACAAGCTGTGATGTGTGTTCCCGCTGCAGAGCAGCCATGACACGTGGCAGCCGGCAGAAGGCTCACGCTTTTCCACTAAACACCCGCAGAGCTACGTCTGCGGTGAACTGAGCAGGGTTTGTTTTACGGTGGCGGATCCGATTGGACCATCGCTGCGAGAAAGCTCCACTTGTGTCAGACGAGCTGAAGGTTCTGATGTTCTGCTCCACAGGCTCTCCTGAAGAAGCACGAGGCCCTGATGTCGGACCTGTCGGCTTACGGCAGCAGCATCCAGGCCCTGAAGGAGCAGGCCCAGTCCTGCAGGGTGAGTTCAGAACCCTCGGCCCGTCAGAACATTCTTATCCACCACGTTCTAACACCAGACCTGTTAACCCGACAGCAACAAGGTGATCAGCAGGTGCTTTTGTCCTGCAGGACCTGAAGGCCAACGAGTCCCGCCTGAGGGACATCAACAAGGTGGCATCTGAACTGGAGTCAGAAGGTCTGATGGCTGAGGAGGCTCCTATGGTTCAGGCTCAGGTGAGCGTCACCTGTCTGCAGCAGCTGGTCCCTCTCACTTCCTGGTTTAACTCTGCTCGTCTCTGTTTGTAGCAACAAGAACATCTGGGTTCTGCTCCTGGAAAGGTGCGTGTTGTCCTCCGCCTCCACCAGAACCAGACGTGGTGTTTATGTTACCACTCATTTGTTTGTTTACAGGATGAAGCCGACTCTAACACGGCGTCACCCTGGAAGGTGAGTTCATTCAGCTGATCAGAGGTCACCTCTGATGGCAGCAGTCACGGCCGACCGTGCTGACATCACACAGGAATTCAGGTGACCCGGCAGGCACCAGGTTTTGGTGAAAGTGGGGACATGTCAGCTGGTTGCCATGGCTAGTTATCTTTATGCATCTGTATGACTGCTGACTGTTGTGTGTTTCCTGTGACCTTTGACCTCAGACCGTACGGTTGGGCGTTCAGACGACGGCTAACTTTAATTCCATCAAGGTAAGAGGAAGCTCTTCCCTTCCTGTCTGAGCGATCCGTCTCCAGGTTTCTTCGTCCGGCGTCCAGCCCGCTGGCGTCCACCTTCATCTCACCTTCATCTCATCTCACTTCATTTATAGTGCAATACTTTCACATTATCATTTTCCCACACTTCTGTATACCTGTATGTTGTTTTTCAATAAAGAATGACAAATTATTTAAGTTTGGTTTTTGTTGCACACAAATATATATCTGTAAAAAATATCTACAAAGCTAATGTTTACATAACAAGTATGATTGGGTTTTGCAATACGGCACTCAAGTTTATTTTAGTAAGATTTTCAAACCAAGTAAAGTTAGTAAAGAACACATTTCTATTGTCTGCTAAGAAACTGTTGGGATTTAAAATGGGCCTGTTGTACAAATAACTTGTAAATGATTATTCCTCACTTTTGTCTTAACCAAAGAAATTCCAGTAATTGAGCAAAAACATTTATTTTTAACACTACATTTTATAAAACAGGGCGCAAAGTGTCGGCACATGTATGTAAGTCGATGGTCCGCCCCAACCAAACCAAGAGACACAGACGTCAGGGAGGCCAAGGTTGTCTCTGCAGCTCTCTGGGCACCACGCCTCACTCAGCTGTCTTCAATGATCCAAATGGCTATGGAGGAAAAAATAACAGGTTTGGCCTAGCTGTTTAAAGTACAAAACCATTCATGAAGTGGTCAAGACAAGTACTTGGTACTTACACTTGCTGCTTTGTGTAGCTGACGTTGACACACAGGCTGCCATGGTGACCTTTTAATAGATCTAAGAAAAAAATGTAATAAAAGAATGAAACTTAAAAACTCCCAGACCTCATGTCATATTTACTCATCAGCTATGGCTGATTTGTTTGGATCACAGTGAGTTACACTAATTCTAATATATTTTTATTTCTATTATACATACATACTTTTTAACTGTTATTTTCACATGACTGTTATCAGGCTCTCTTGTTCTGGTTCTGATGATAACTCTGTGTCTTCCAGTAAGTTATCTTGTGCTTACTTCATCTGTATAATGTCTCTTTACTTTTGGTAAATTGTACTGAGTCCAGAATAAAGGCTAGTTGGCTGTACAAGATACAAACAAGTATTACGTTTTGGAAATATATGAAACACCGCCAGCATCTGTTAGAGCCTGTGGCGGGGTGCTGAGGGCCGGCTCCAGCCCAGGAATGAGCTCTACACGCCGGCCGGGAGGGTTTGAAACACCGCCATCCTCTCCTCTGCTGGCTGTAAATTCTGTTATGGTTACCGGTGCTTGTGTTGCAATGTGAAACGCTTGGTCTCAGATTTTGTAAGAAAGATAATAAAATGTCCCCCCAAAATACGACTTAAATATATTTTCTCTTCTTCATGATACATTTAATGGCTGGTGCGACTCAGGAGTGATAGCGCCAAAAAAAAACTACTGAAAACTTGCTCAAAGCAAAATGTTTTCATTACGGAAATAAATTATAAACTTACCGATTTAAAACTTTTTTAATACAGGTACTTCTCACGAACAGGCGCAGAAAACCTCCACCTAAACTCCGTGTAAGGTTCAGGTCGATGGGTGTTCCAGTTAGCTCCGGTTGGGTTGAAGCTAGGTGGCTACATCCGTTAGCTCGGCTCCCACCTCCGCTTTAGCTTTGGGTTAGCCAGGGTTAGCTTCAGGTTAGCTCGTAGCTAGTTCGCCTGGGTGTCGTCACTCGAGCCCAGCCTTACAGCCACACCCTTAGCGCCTCCTCTCTTCCCTTTTATGGAATTGTCTGGGCTGGACGGAACCTGTGACACGGTCAAAATGGCGGTGGTGGACACCTCCCATTATGGACAGATAACGTGTTATTGAAGTCTATGGAATCGAATTGTCCAGTATATGTACAGTCTATGAATGCACCACACCCAACCATCGCTCTGGTAAATGCGATTGAAATCTTTGTTTTTATGCATGCCTGTGCATCATATTCATCTCACAGTCAAGCAACAGAACCAGGCTGTAAGCTGTGTGCAGTTTGTCACAGCGAGCACATGGGTTTTCAGAGCTGTTTGGCTTTGACCTGCTGGCATTTGTGGAGGGAGAGCGGAACAGATCATGTCTCCATGCAGCCCCCCTGCTGAGCAACAAGGATCTCACTGAGTCATGTGTGGACTTTGGTTTCTGTCGGTGTCGTCGATCTCCACGGAGGCTGTCAGCTTCCATCAGCTCTGTGCAACAGGGACAATAAACGCAGACCACCAACTGTGGCAAAGTGAAGGTTAAAAAGTGTGTGAGTAAACTACTGTACAAAGGAAATGAGCAGGGGAAGAAATGTCAGGGTTCATCTACGTACCTTCTCAGACCTTTATAATAAATATCAGTATTAAAATATATTAACTGCATTTATTCATCCCAGTACCCTTCATGGCGCTGCTGTAATAACTCTTTTAGAGAGTAACACATGGGTAACTTGGTTTTAAATGGCTGTGCAAGAAGATGCATTGAGCATCCTTAAGTGTGGAGAGCACTGGGTGGGTTAAGCTGGATGTCAGCGTGCTCTCCCAAAAGTTCAAATGTCACAATCTTTAATTAATTCATCTTGTTATTTGGATGGTGGTGCAAAGTCCTGGAGATGAGTGCACATCACACGGCTTTAGAACTCGTTAGAAAAACTTTGCATTTGCTCTTCTACGTATTTCTCACAAGTTAGCATTAAAATAACTACACAAGGTTTCCCTCTAGATAACTGTAATGTTTAAGGAAGCAACGGTTCAGATTTCTATGTGGAAATATGAGCAAACCTTACTTGTAAATAACTCCTTCAGCACCCTCAGTTTAGAGATACAAAGATTATTGATGAGCCAGTTGCTAAACCAAAGTGCAATGCTGCCATTTAAAATAAAACACAAGAGCTTTAACCCTCTCAGCTAAAAATAAGTTTTGATAAAAGGACGAACAACTAAGTCCTTCAGAGTTACTTCTGAGCTAAAAAATGCTCATGAAATACATATGTGGAGTAACCAGGTAGGTAGGTTTTAACGTTGCAAATCTGCAGTGTCTGGCCCCAGAGGGTTAAACACTTGAAGCTATTGTTTTCTGTGGTTCTTGAACCAGAAGCTTGAGCAGCTTCACATTAGACAGCGCTCTGTAGCCCTCTGCTGACCAGAAACTACACTTAGCACTTTTGTGGTTCAGGTAGGAACACTAGTGGGAGGTTTCTACCTACTTTATGGCAACAGCTGTGATGAATGCTAATAATAAAGGCTAGCGGTTAGTAAGCTATGAAATCACAGACTGATAGTGACCTGGCTTTGTTGCTACTGGACTTCTAATTCTTTGTCCAATGGTGTGCCTCTGCGTGCTCGGGAGGGGAGTTGGGGCTTCTCAGGCGGCAGTCTCCTTAGGGTATCCGCACTCCGGGAGAGTCCTCTGGGGCTTGGAGCTCCTCCATCTTTCGTGGGTCTTTGGGGTCAGGTCTGTGGCCTCTCATACTCACTACTGAACACTATAGATAAACTTTACATACACAAGTGTGTGTACACACACAAAGTGCTCACATGGTGCTCTCACAAGTCTGGGCTTGGGCATTTTTAACACATAGCCTAAGGCTGTGGTTGGCACTAAACACACATAAATTATTACCGTGGGCTTTTCAGAAAATTGTTACTGTTATAAATCCTCACAGTGATACTTTGGTTCTGTTGTGGGTCTCCCTTTTTTTTCTTTGTCTGCAGGTCTAGAAGCAGATTCTTGTACATCCTTTGTTTTTGTGAAGTTTTTCCCTCCATCCTTTTCTCTCCCCCCTTTCTCTTTCATTTCTGTCTCCGTGGCTTTGAAACAACTGAAAATGCTTCTAATAAAGTTTTGGTATCAGGCGATAAAAGCTGGAGCTAAACTGCTCCACCTGTGAGAGTACAACTGTAAGGCTTGTCCTTGGCACTCAGACATCAATTCTGATTGCTTTACAGCCGGACAGGACACTGGGAGAAAAGAAAAGCTGCGACAGGGTTGTTTGCAACGGTTTTAATACTGCTTTCAATCAGTAGGAGGGAGAAGCGGGAAAACTTATTTAGTGATGCTTTAAAAGAAACTCTGTAAAACAGCTCAAACATACCAAATGATGTAGCACTAGCTTCATTTGGCATTATTCCTGACCCACCAGCACATCTTGCAAGATTACTTCAAATCCTCATGAGGTTAAACACCTCGAAGCAAACCAAAATAATGCATTAACTTGGTTTAAATAAATGGCACACACATTTGCTAATGTTATAAAGCTTCATAAAATAGCTTTTGCAGTAACTGCTATGAAATTGTAGACCAGCATTTCAAGACACCAAAGTCATCCAGTCATGGCATTAATTGCTCAAAAACCCACCTTTATGATTTTAATTATTGCTGAAAGGAGAATATTTAACATAAAGCTGTGAAGAAACTAAAAGTTCTTTTTTCTGTTTTTGTAATACAAAAAGAAAATTTGTTAAAACATGAAACCCGCCATGTCAACTTTTGTAGCCTCCAGCCTCTTTGCTTGTATGTTTTATCTTGAGCTGCTTCTTTGTTTGTGTCCACCTGCCACATTTTTCCTGCTCATTAGCAAGTAATTACTTCAGCTGGCTACTTAAGCTTGCAGAAAACGTAACACCGTAGTATCGTGGGAGAACTGTTGACTAGTTGGACTCCGCAGAGGAGGTGTTGTTTCTTTTGGTTGCATACCAACTAGCAAATAGGTGCATCCTTGCCATTTTAATCCTGCAGCGTGACAAATAGTAAAAAGCCACAGCACAGCTGGGAAATATGAAATATATTTAAGGGATAATTACACATATCTAATTGCCAATGGTTATTAAAACTTATTTTATACATGTCCAGTGTCCATAACTGGTATTCTTTTATCCCCTGCTGGCTAACCTCTTAAAGTCAGACTTGACTGTTAGAATAACGACTTTAAACTTGCCAAAGAAAACATCAGAGGTGGGCAATTAGTAAAGATCTAAACCACCATGATTTCCAAGAAGGCTGAGCTTTAAAAGAAAATACAACACATTCAATGAACATGTATTCACTGGTGTAATGACAGCATCCTCCCAGCAAACCCACGCATTCATCCGTCGAGTCAAGGCCCACCGCTCCCTATTGATTTGGTCGCTGAAGAATGCTGTGCATTACAAATCTGCACCTTCACTTGTATTCAGCTCTCCTGAAGAGACATCCTGCAACAACAAGGTGCAGAAAAATACAGAGAACAGAATGAATAGATGTGTATAGGAGGAGATGTTGGGTCAGATGTCTTCACTTGGCCAAATAGGAAACCTTTAAAGTTGTGACAAATTCACGTCAGCCCATACAGAACCTGGACTAAAGTTATTTTAGTCATTTATGAATATTTTCTAGTAGCCTGCTTATTTTTTCCTGTGCTAAGTAAAAATTAAGAAGAAAAGAAGCAACAATAAGTGCAAATCATTTTTAACATTTGTTGCTAAATTATTTTTTTTTCTCTAAATCCACATTCGTAATCTGGAAAATTATTATATTACAAACGTATGCAATAGAAAGTGAAGAAACAGACAGAATACTCCACATTAATATTCTACTTATAATCTATGCAGACAAACAAACGGTTCAGCACTTCTGGGAGCATAATGTGAGCAAGACGGAGATGATTAAAGACCAACTGGTTTCATCTAAAGTATTTAAATGAGGTTGACAGTCACTGAGATGTAGCTCAGGTGTTTTTGAAGGTTATTAAAAAGCAACAGCTGAGCTCCCTTATTGAGAACACAACCGCAGTGAATTCACCTGATAATATCTCACAAACCTGATGGCACTGGAATCTGATCACCTGCCAGGTTAGGCTATCGCAATGGGAGCCACCAACATAAATGGTAATATAATGCACCAGATCTAATGCACAAATGTCCATTCTGTTAACAAAACTGTAGAAGTTTATAATTTTATTGGAGAATGCATCAAGATTTCCTTGAAGAAATACAAAGTGACCATTCTTTTAGTGAAATCTTGAACAAAATGTTTTGCTTGACTTCATGCAATATCATCAGAGGTGCAGTGTGCTGACAGGCAGGGCAGGCAATTGCTTGGGGCACCCAGAGGGCTAAAACAACGCTGAACAATCAATCAAAATCAATCAATCAATCAATACTTTATTAATCCCAGAGGGAAATTAGAGTTTCAGTACACACAATTCAGAGATCAGACATACATGGGCGAGACACATGACAAGAATTGGTGACTGTGGTCATTCACAACCCGAGTCGCACTACCTTAATAGAGATAAGAGGGGTTACATGAGGATTGGTTCAGGTGGAGGGAAAAAAAGGCACTTCAGAGTTAACTTTGCTCTGCAAAAAAACACC